CATATCTACATATCTACATATCTACATATCTACATATCTACATATCTACATATCTACATATCTACATATCTATATATCATCTATACCTATGCACACATACACACACACACATACACACATACACACACATTACTTGGCTTCATATAAAATTATTGTTTATAGTTCAAGACAAAAAATTAAAAAGTATGACAAATTTATATATTCTAACCTTTTGCACAATTAATAGATGGTTAACTTTCTGTCATGTTTTCAGAGAAAAATATTTGATTTTGTGTCTCAAGAAGTCAAGGAAGGCCTTGTAAAACCTCACTGCAATCAACACTATACAGTGATTAAGAGTGGTAAGCATGACTTCTTGCCCAAAATGAAGTTATAGAAGAATACAAATAAGAATGGAGAAAAAATTATTGACTGCCTCAATAAACACAACTCTGTATTTTAAACCAAAATCATGGTCTACACAGGCTATAAAATATAGAAATCAGAAATGGGTTGAAAAGGTAACCTCCTTTTCTCAGTAATTGCTCAATCTGTGAGATCTTTGATAAACAGTTAGATAGGAGATTGGAAACTTTCATAGTTCTGATTTTCCAACCCAACCTTCTTTCTCCCATCCAATTTTCTAGACTTCATAATATGAAAAATCACTTTGTCTATATGTGATGCCCAATCTAGTTTTATAGGTATTTTCAATCACTACCACTTAGCTTTCTGAAGAATTTGCATCCAAAGTCTATATAACACTTACCGCTCTGAATTGTTCTTTTTAAAACTATTTGGTGGAAAAAAAACCAGACAAATTAAATGTTGTATGAATATATATTGTACTCAAATAAATTAGAGTTACACTGGTCTCAACATTCTAATTCCTAAATTCCAAGAAATATTTTTTTAAAGAAAGGCTGTATGTTGCTCCTCATCCTATATAATTGTGCTAGAAAAGAGAATTAGGAAATCAGGAATATTAACTGGGGGAGTCAACTGTGAAAACTGTGAAATATAGAACAAACAGTCCTAGTTTACTAACCTTTTTGTGTCTCCTTTCTGGACTTTTACCCAATGTTCGATGTGAGTCATATTACTTTTCCTTTGTGTCTCCTTATTTTGTGTTGATCTGGGAATAAAGCCTCTTTTATGGACACTGATACCATTCTGCTCTACTGGACCTGCATTTAGTGAACTTGGAGGCATTCCATTCTTCTCAAGAGTTTGAGTTGCTTGGGGCCGAGAGAAACTTGATGCAGGATTCAGTATTCCACCAGGTTCTAATAGCTGTTTAGGTTTCTCCCATTTGGAATCCACAGCCTTCTTCCTTGCAGTGTAGTGTTCATCATCTCTTACTTTTTTCATTTCTTCATGTTTGCCATATGCAGACATTTCGGGTGATTTTCTGTAGCCTCTTTTTGCATCAGCAGGTTCTAACTTTGTAACTTCTTTGTAGGTATCAATATGATTAGCTTGAGGGACAGCTTGTTGATCTGCTTTTTCTGTTCCACTAAGGAGAAAAGAAATCCACAGACACTAAAGTCAGCACAATATTTTGAATTATTGATGTTTGCTCAGATTTTATAATAAAACTGAAGTTTTATTGCAGAGGCTGCTAATACTTTCTGATCCCAGGGCTTTTAATTCCTCATCTTTAAAACCCCTCAAAATCTCATGAAATTGACAATCTCGTATCAAAACAGAGTTTTTAAAATGTTTACAATTAATTTAGTTTTATGTATGTTTTAGAAGTCTTAAATTACCTTGTAACTTTGCCAGTTGCAATGCAATGGCTAAAATAATCAACATGTAGAAGAGTAGCACAGTGCATTAGCATGATATACAAGCCTAACATTTCGGGACCAGAAGCGAGATGAGAAGTGAGGTATTTTGTCTGTGTGTGTGTGTATTCTATATGCATATACATTAGACATGATGAGTCTAGAACATGGGTGTCAAACTCACGGCATCACGTTGCAGTTACATGACATTTTGTGACATTTTTTCCCTTCGCGGAGCTGGAGTGAGCATGGCCTGCATGTGATGTATCCGGTCCGGGGGCCGCCAGTTTGACACCCCTGGTCTAGAATAATTAACATGTTATAAAATGTAGCCTTTCCTCTCAATCATTAAAATACCTCTCTCTTTTTTTTCTCTTGAGTAATTTTTGAATAAATTAGACCCTGCAGTTTTCTTGGCAAGGTTTTTCAGACGTGCTATGCCCTTGCCTCCTTCTTAGGGCTGAGTATGATTGGCCCAAGGTCACCCAGCTGACTTTATGACCAGTTGGGACTAGAACTCACAATCTCCCAATTTCTACCCAGTGACTTTAATCTCTCAACAGGAAATCTGCTTTCCACTGGCCCATGCAATTATTTATTTGACAAGGAAGGAAAGTGAATAAAGTTACTCAGTGTTGTCCTATCATCACTACATTCAAAATAGCTCCTGTTACCATTTACTTTTTGACTTTAAAGGCAACACAAGGACTTTGGAATAATATTGAGGAACAGGCAATCAGGAATTTAGAATCTGTTATATTGCTTACATATTGCTTGCGTGGAACTTTAATAAAATGTCAAGTAAAAAAAACCATTTTAAAGACCCACTAAAATGACTATCTGTACTTCCTTAAGGAGAAACTTATTTAAATAGCTGCTAAAAAAAAATCTGCCACACTCCATCCCAAAATAGTCATTTCAAGGATTGGGAGGGTTAGCATGAATAAACATTCATCTGTAGAATATCCTTTTTTATATTTTATTTTAGCAAAAGGAGAATGTTTAGGTAATCAAAAAGTAACATGTGAATGTACAGAGAGCTTGTTTTCCACCCAGTAAAGCCTGTTAACATTTATCTATGTTATCTATGAAAACTTACCTATGATAAAAGGTTTTTAAACAATAAGAAAAACTAAAATACTCCCTCTGCCTCTGGTGTTTTCTTTTACCAAATTTCTTTTACCTGGTGAGATCCTGGACTAGTCATTGTAGTTTTCTTGGGAAGATTTTCAGAATTAAAATTATTATTGCTCATTACTGTAAATAAATAAACGAGCTTCTGCAGGTGGCAATGACACCTAATACCTTAATATTAAAAGTTAAAGAGGTTTTTTTTTAAAAAAAAAGACAATATTTTTTAAGTATGACTGAAAATATATCATGTATATATTTGTGTGTGTGTGTATGTATACGTACGTACGTACATATACATACATACATACATACATACATGTTTAACGACCCCATAATCCCTTGCAGGGTAGAGTCTGGGCAACTAAATGGAGCTAGCAGTGTGTTTACTGACCAGATGCCCTTCCTAGCGCCAATGTGGAGATTTGCTCAGCAGATATATTCTCATTGTGCCCAATGAGAGAAAGAGAGAAATATGTGCCTCTACCTAAGATCGAACTCACAGCCTCCTGATTGTGAGGCGAGAGCTCCACCTCTAGGCCACCACACCACTCCAGTTATAAATACACACACACACACACGCACACACCACATACAGAGTGAACTTGCCTCTTTGGTGAAAAATGGATTTGCATAAGAGCAGCTTGATTCATAGCATGGATCCAGTCATTCATATCTTCTTGAGCATCGGCACTAAAGTAGTATGTGCGCATCCCTGAATGCTCTGCCTGAGAGCCAATAACAGAACTCTTATTATAAATATAAGCCCTCATGCCTGTATGGACAGCCTGTAAATAGAGAGAGAGAGAGAAGAGGCATTTTAGGCAATGTCAAAGTACAAAATTCCATGCTTTTGAAAGTACAGCAGCTATTTAAATTGCAAAATGTTTTAAGTAATCAATATGGCCTGTGTTACAAAATACTGTATAAGGTGGTACCATCAAAATCACTACAGTAGTGTTTCTGTGTAATAGGATAAACATGTGGGGTTTTTTTTTCTCCATACAAGTCCAATGATGCCACAGCTTGTTTCTGGTCTTTGTATCAGCAACTTAACGTTTTATATCATTCCCCTTATCTCAAGGAAATGGAGAGCAAAAATTACCCTGATAGGCCAGCAGAGTTTATGTTTTCTTATTCTTTGGTTGAAATTATAAATATTAGATTGCTGTGTAAAGAATATATTGAGAAGAAGAAAATTAAAGATATTTAATACTATCAATTTTTATTAGAATGAATATTTTTAAAGATTTATTTTTTGTTTTTATTAAAATAGAAAATGGTTATAATTACTGAGATTGGTTATGACAGCTTTGAATACACTATGTTACTGTGCAATGCAGTTTTTTTAAAATGATAGTTAACACCCTTTGGATAACATCACATTTAGGGCAATAGCAACCTAAGTACAACGATTTGTTTCTTATTACAGTTGATTTACATGCCATGCTGCAGACAATCACAACATTCAGTGAAACACAGGGCAGAGTACAGAGTACAGAGTATTTTGGGGAAATCAGTGCAAGAGGGAACATCATACAAATTAGTTCAAATTATGATGCTACTACATACATGCCACATTAGCAAAGACAAGGAAGAGAACTTAATGCCACAACTAAATCTGTTTTGTTATAGAAGCATATAGAAACACTATTTCCAACACAGAACTTTAGCATGAGAAGAAAATGTGTGGATAGATAAATAAAACTAGGAAATAGCACGTATAAATTGGCAGAATTTAGTTAAAATCTATGACAAAAGGAACTACTTTTATATTTTTGGCAAATATAACACAACTTTCAGGTTGGTCAGATATACATGAAAACAAGAACTGAAAGCACCTCATTTTCTTGAAATGCTCATCAAGATACTTAGGCCCTGAGTTCCACTTAATCTTCTATAGGCAAATTTATTCACACATATATATTGTTTACTATTGCACATTGTCAAAGTACGGTAGATGTTGGTGATTCTAATCTATTTTGTTGTGAGCTCCTGGGTTCTCTCTGAGCTTGGTTGTTTGCTTGCAGATGTTTTATTACCGAACTATGTAATACTGTCAGTGCTAGTGAGCGTATGTTTTATACTCTGTTTATATACAATAGCTTGTTCTACTCATGTTGACGTGTTTTTCCCCCCTTTGGTAGTTCTTTGATTAGGTTATTGTTTTCTGCTAGATTGTTTGTCTGGTGTTAATCCCTGTTTATCAGGGTGTAGGCTGCTGGAGATATGTATTCTGGTTTTTTTGTTTCCTTCTTAGCTTTTTTATTGTCTCTTTTGAGTGGTGTGCAAATGTGGTTTATCTTTATATCTTTATTGATGGCTGAGATAAAAATGTCTAGCCATTAGTAGATCACTAAAACCTCTTAAAGACAACTATCCCAAACCATAGAGATAAAGAGTCCTTCTGTAAGGGAGGGAGGCAGTTTCAAAATTAGAATAAATAAATAAATAAATAAATAAATAAATAATAAGAGCATATTTACTGACTAGAATCAAATCTCCAATTACATGCAGTACAGTATTTGGTGAATGGTACTTTTAGAGATCAGTATTGAAAATGTCGGAATGTGAGTTACTTTTCATTTAGATGAAAACCATCAACCATGGTATCCTTCTGCGACGCCTGGGGGAGGTGGGAATGAGAGGCACCGTATTACGGTGGTTCTCCTCTTACCTCTCTGACAGGTCGCAGTCGGTGTTGGTCGGGGCACAGAGGTCGACCCCTAGGCCCCTCGAGTGTGGTGTGCCGCAGGGTTTGGTCCTACCCCCCCTCCTATTTAACATCTACATGAAGCTGCTGGGTGAGATCATGCGACAGCACGGGGTAAAGTA